GAGATAATATAAAGAACGATAATAATAATAAAGATGTTATTTTGAAATATATATTTTGTACGAATATGTTAAGCTTCCGCATGTATAATAGTTACTCCGATATTATCAATAAATAAGTAAAGTTTGGTTTAATGCTCCATTTTCCGATTCAAAAAGTTAGGGGCTGTTTGGTAACTTCTAAATGGGTAAGTGTTGAACCAGTAAGAGGTCTGAACCATTAAGTGCTGAACCAGTAAGAGGTCTGAACCATTAAGAGCTAGTATATTGTTTAACTATTCAGAGGCAAATGTCTGATCAATTCAGATAAGAGCTCTTAACCATTCAGACTCTGTATAATACTTAACCATTCAGAGGCAAATCTCTTAACCATTCAGACATCTGAACCATTAAGAGGCTGAAACAAACAGTCTGAACCATTAAGTGCTGAATCATTCAGACATCTGAACCATTAAGAGGCTGAAACAAACAGCCCCTTACACCCGTTAACACCGCGAGTCAGATATTTGAATTAATTCAGGTACCCGGGTCGTGGCGTTACAATTTGGTATCAGAGCATTAAGGTTTTAAAATTATTTTCGGACCCATATAAGGATTTAAAAAAATATAGTAGCACATCTCGTCCACTCATCCTCAAGCATTGACCGCTCCGGAAAGGTAAATTTTTAATACTTAGTACTCTACAATTATATAAAGTTATATGGACAGATGCTTAGTAAAGTAAAAAAAATGAACACTTGAAATTTTTATGATACGATTTTTATTCGAGCATTTCTCGGATTTAATGACGTTATTCAGAGTTAGCTAAAGTCGGATTTTTCAAGAATGTGAATCCTGCCTATAGTGATCCGAAAACAAGATTAAGGGAGAAATGTGAACGAGAATGTTAAGTTAGATATTAGAACTAGTCATTGTAAAATTATGGTGTGTGTTTTTAAGACTTTTCCAAACCACAGTATAGAAGGACCATTGACAAATAGTAACGAATATAAATGTAATAATAAATTTGGACATATGGTAGTAATGATATATCGTGATTATTTTTAATAGATGAGTACTCAATCAGTACACAATGAGAATAATGTACGAAGTGACGAGACAAATCAAAATATTCGAACCATTTCTCAAATTTTAGAGGCAATTCAGCACATGGCGCCTCCACAATATACGGTAGAGAAGTTGAAGAGGAATGGAGCTGAGGAGTTTCTAGCAGATGAGATAAAGAATCCAGGAAAAGTGGAGTACTGGTTGGTAAGAACCAAAAGAGCTCTAAAAACTTTGAAGGTCCCGGAAGATGATAAGCCACATTTAGCAATTGCACTGCTTCAAGACGCGGCATATGACTAGTAGAAAAGAATTGAGAGAGATCCCACAACTCCTGAACGTATCACATGGGACTTCTTTGAACATGTTTTTGAAGAGGAGTATGTTCCGGATAGATATAGGGAAGCCAAACGCAAACAATTCACGGAATTGAGGCAGAACGGGCGGCCTCTAATTGAATACCGACAAGACTATGATCACTTGGCAGAATATGCAACAGATCTAGTGAACAACACAACGAGAAGGTGTGAAAAGTTTGCTGAAGGCCTAGATCACGATTTGGGACTTGCTATGGTTACAGTCGACTATACCACTTTCAACGCAGTTTATGCAAAGGTGGAACGGGCAGAGGAAAGGATTGCTGCAAAGAAAGTCTTAGAGAAGAATGTAGCCTCTAGAACATCATCTGATTCCATTTCGCCTCCTACATCATGTGAGGAAACAATTTTTTCTAGAAACATACACTACAAAAAAAGAGAGCAGTACCGACAGATCCCTAGTGACAGAAACCTTATTTGTCGCTAAAAAGAGAATAATTGTAACGCCCCAAAATATACCCTAAAATTTATTGAATTAAATATTCAATTAAACAAAATTTGTTTTGATTAAAATAAATTGTTGTTGGGCTTTGGGCTTGAATAAAATATATATTGATATCCAATAAACATAATTGGGATAAATCTCATAGAGATAAATCCAACATGTTGATTTATTGTGTGATCTTGATTAGGACATGAGTACAGACCCAAATTAAGAATAAATGATGAAATTGTTTATAAAGTGAACTTTGAAATGATTTATTGAAATAAATCATGGAAATAAAAAATATGAATTAAATGTGAGAACCTTTTTGAATAAAGGTCAATTAAACCAATTTTGACTCTGTTAAAGTCAACCACCCAAAAATATGATGTCGGAAAAAGTATAATGAATAAATATAAAAATTATATCGTTGGATAGAGTTTAATTGCACAATCGCAACGGTGCAGACAGATTTCAATTCGGAGAAAGTTGTACCAAAAAGTGTACCCCGACTGGAACCAAAATT